GGAGCCAACTATCATGGAGCCAACTATCATGGAGCAGAAGAGCTTAGTGATTATTGCGACGTGATTTTCCATCAGTTCCGAGACTGGTATTGTCTACAAATACCCAGTCTCTGTTCTGCAGTTTTACCTACACTTTCGAAAATACTTTTACTCCATGTCGAGTATCAGCAATATTGCCATATTATGTTTACGGGTATAACTGGTGAGTTTCTGGACAGTCTAAAGGATGAAGCCATTGAATCGTTGCTTCTGATTGCTTCACTTCAGCCACTTAATATGGATGTGCAATTCCTATTTCGCAAAGTATTTGAAAGAGCAACTAAAGAAGACATCTGCAGTCGTCAATGCCTCCTCATACCTCTAATGTCTAGCGCCCTTAGAGTACTTCTGGTTCTTCCGTCTGCCGCCAAAAACGTGCTTTACGATGCTCTGAACTACGTAAAAATTCCCCCCCCCCCCCCACCAAGTGATTTATCCGGGTGGGCGTCACCTCACCCCGATAAATCACTTCGACAAACACCCTCCAGCTTCGACAAACACCCTCCAGCTTCGACAAACACCCTCCAGCTTCGACAAACACCCTCCAGCTTCGACAAATACCCTCCAGCTTCGACAAACACCCTCCAGCTTATGCGGATGCCAGACCGACCGGACATCCGATGCCAGCGCGACCGGACGTCCGCCTCCCCTCCCGAAAGAATGTCTCGTATTGTTCTTCCTTTAGGTTAATAGAAATATAGGGTGCCTGCCGGCGGAGATAATAGAGAGGTATCTCGCAGTTGCTAGGTTGATTGGCCGCGGGCAAGAGGCACTGAAGGCGGTCTATGGCCAGCCCCCGTCGATGAGCTGGCCGTTATACAGCAATCCGAAGAAAATTAAGTTTGATGATTTGGATGCGTGTCCAAACAGCCATGCGATTCTGTCATTTGGCGCTGCTTATGATTCCCCTGTGATGCCAGTTCCGCCATGTTATGTGCAGTCGTGTTATGCGGGGCCCGTGGAGACTATTTCAGCTCGGGGGAATGATGATGCGCCACGGACGGCGGCTTTTCAGGCATCGGAGGACACGCACGCGTCGTTCGGAGTTCAGGAGGGCGCTCACGGTGAGTTGAGTCGACCGGGCATAAACCTTTTGGAGTCGTCTGATGCAAGCCCGAAGGACTCCGCTTGTCCGAAGGACTCCGCTTGTCCGAAGGACTCCGCTTGTCCGAAGGACTCCGCTTGTCCGAAGGACTCCGCTTGTCCGAAGGACTCCGCTTGTCCGAAGGACTCCGCTTGTCCGAAGGACTCCGGCTTTAGAAAAGATGATTGGAGATGCGAGAAAACAGGGATGTTACCCAACGGGCTATTGGACAACGGGTCGTTACCCAACGGGCTGTTATCTAACGGGTCGTTACCCAACGGGCTGCTACCCCTCAAGCGGCCAGAGGAGGGGCCTCTGGAGCTTCTTTTTTGATTCCGGAAACGATTCGAGGCCGGGCGTTCGGGGCCGGGCGTTTTATTGCATTAAAAAATTCGTGGAATGAACCGCTACGGTGACTATCAAGGCCGTGCGTCAGGTAGCGGCTATGCCAGCGGTGGAAGTTATTCCGCGGGAGGGTCTAGCTACGGATATGGCGGCGGTCGAGGCGGCAGTTACTATAGTGGGGGTCGCTCGGGGTCTGGTTATGGTGGTTCTGGTTATAGTGGTTCGAGTTACGGAGGTTCTGGGTACGGTGCAGGAGCGGTTCCGGCCGCTCCGGTGTCTGCTGGACCGGACACGACACCTTTCAAGAAAAACTTTTACAAGATCTCGCCAGCTACAGAGGCATTGACACCGGACCAAGTGGATTCATTCCGACGGGAGCACGAAATGCGCGTTGTAGGTGCTGAAGTGAAGCCAGTGCTGGGCTTCGAAGATGCGGGGTTCCCGGAGGAGTATAACGACAGGTTGTATCGAGCGGGTTTCAAGCAACCGTCTCCCATCCAGTCGCAAGCGTGGCCAATTTTGTTGTCAGGCCACGACATGATCGGGATTGCCGAGACCGGTAGTGGCAAGACGTTGGCCTTCCTGATGCCTGCGGTGGTGCACATTCTGGACCAGCCACGCGTCAGCTACGACCAAGGTCCTATTGCGTTAGTGCTAGCGCCCACGCGTGAGTTGGTGGAACAGATCAAGGAGGAGGCCATCAAGTTCACTTGCCGAATGCGAGTGGCTGTGGCATACGGCGGCGTGGCTAAGCGGATGCAAATGAACGCCCTCCGCGGCGGCGTCGAAATCTTGGTCGCGTGTCCCGGTCGTCTCATTGACTTTATGGAACGAGGCACTGTGAGTCTAAGGCGCGTTACCTACCTCGTACTGGACGAAGCTGACCGTATGTTGGACATGGGTTTCGAACCGCAGATCCGGAAAATTGTTACCGACATCCGACCCGACCGGCAAACGCTAATGTTTTCAGCTACGTGGCCCAAGGAAGTCCAGGGTCTTGCACGCGACCTATGTAGGGAGGATCCTGTCCAAGTTACCATCGGCTCTTCCGAGCTCAAGGCGTCCCACAATGTTGAGCAGAACGTCTATGTGGTCACTGAGGAGGAAAAGAAGACGCGACTGTTCGACCTTATTAACCAGGCGCGCGAAAAGGAGCCGGGCGCACGCATTATTATTTTCACCGAGACGAAGCGCGCGTGCGACGTTCTAACGCGCGAAATGCGCGCCAAGGGCTATCAGGCGCTCTGTATCCACGGTGACAAGGAGCAGGAAGAACGACGGTACGTGCTGGAGGAATTCCGGTCCGGTAAACACCCAATCATGGTTGCCACTGACGTCGCTTCTCGAGGACTCGACGTCAAGGATGTCCGTATCGTCGTCAACTACGATATGCCCGGCCAGGTCGAAGACTACGTGCACCGGATAGGACGTACGGGCCGCGCCGGCGCTACGGGAACCAGCTACTCGTTCTTGACCGATAAGAACAGAGGACTCGCTCGGGACCTGATCAAGATCCTAGAAGAAGCCAAGCAAACCGTACCAGCGGAGCTACAGTCCATGGCTTACTCAAGCCGAGGCGGAGGAGGACCGTCCCGATTCGGCGGCGGGAGACGCTACGGCAACGGCGGCGGAAACCGTGGCTACGGCAACAGCGGCGGAAACCGAGGCTACGGAGGTGGCTATGGCGGGGCTGGCGGCAACTACGGTGCGGCGCCCCCCAGCTCCGGATACTACTAGGGAGCTTGTATTATTTTAGTTCATAGATCATTGATAATTCTAGTTCTAGGTTCTGTGCACACCCACCGGGTGGGTGGAAAGAGCAGTGGGTGAATGGTGGGCGTAGAAGCGGGAGACCGGGTCTCCCGCCCAGGTGGCTGGGTCTCCCGGGTGTAGACACACACGTGTGCGAACACGCGTGTGATGCGTATATACTCTAGGCTGTGGCTGGTCGCAGGGATGTTGGTGGAGGTTTGTAGTCGTGAATACAGTGCAGAGGAGGCGCAGACGGCTGCGCTGGACACCATGCAGAGCGTAGAGCCTCTTGTGGACGTAGCTGCAGTGCCGTTGCTGAATTCGGATACGATGGGTCGTCAAACAGCGGCGCAGTTCCGGCCGGCACTTGTGGAGCCGCAGCAGACGGCGGAGTGTGTTGTGACGTACGAGGTGCCATGTCCCGTGGAAATGGAGAGGGTGTTCGGTACATGCGTCGCATCAACAGAACAGGTTGGAGACCGGTGCGTGCAGAGGGTGAATGGAGCGAATAGTGAGAAGGAACGTGCTGTGGTTGCGGCAGAGTGTGGGCTGCACTGGCCCTGTCGCACGACTGAGCCGCCGTGGACGTTGCGTGCCTGCCCGTTGTTATGGGACCTGGTTGAAGCGGACAGACACGTGTGCGAGCCTTCGACATCGTATCGCGGACCCTGCGGAGAACCGCAGTCTTTTTTGCAGTGGACCCGGGCAGAGCGCATTGGCTGGATGGTTCGGTAAGTATACTCTCAGTAAGCAGATAGGTCCGGGCGGGCGGGTGGGCCCGGGCGGAAGGGCGTAATAAAAATTCTGTAATTTCCCAGGTGCGGCCCGTGGTGAAATGCGCGTGCCAGTGAATAATCGTCAGTCGAACAAGGAGCCTATTTTTCTGAAGCAGATCGAATATGTTCAAGAGAAACCCTTCTCGGAGGTAAAAGGGCGCCAGGTCTACTACATTGCTGGTTTAGGAGTGACTGCCATCCTGGTAGGTTTCCTCATTGCGCGCTTCCACGGGCGGCTCAAGACCCAAGGGAGAGATGTCCGCAACGAAGAGTTTGTCACCGACGGGGTCTGGATCGTCCCGTCTCAAGGCTGCAGCATATTCGGAGCCTCGGGGGAAGAAGAAGATAGACAACTCAACCGCGCAGCATCGTTCAGCCCACAACAGTTTGACAAGAGCATATCCATGAAACTCGGCACCACTAAATCTTGCAAGTTCTGACACTCGCTTGGGCCACACCCACGCAAGGTGGGTGCCGGCGAACAACGTGCGGCCTATGTAATATATAGGCCATGTAATATACGCCACGTCTCGATGGCCACGTCTCGATGGTCACGTCTCGATGGCCACGTCTCGATGGTCACGTCTCGATGGTCACGTCTCGATGGTCACGCCACGTCTCGATGGTCACGTCTCGATGGTCACGCCACGTCTCGATGGTCACGCCACGTCTCGATGGCCACGTCTCGATGGTCACGTCTCGATGGTCACGTCTCGATGGATCAACCACTATGCGTATGGGTGGACTTTTCAGCTTAAGGGCTTGTACTCAAGGATTTAGGCGGTCACGAGATCTAGGGACTATCGCTGGGGACTGCGCCTTATCGCTAGGGACTGTCACCAAAACCAGCCCTTCTTGCGCTGGTTCTGTTCTTCGTAGTCCTCGATAGATTGTCTTTGTTGCTCAATTATCGCTTCAAGCTCCTGGAGCTTCAGACCCTTGCGACCGTTCTCGGTCTCCAATTCAATAATAGCCCGCCTGGATCCTGATAGTCGTTTTTCGAGCATTTCTTTCGCTCGTTCGAACTCCTGTTTCTGACCAAGCAAAGCTTGCTGATAAGCCTCTTTAGTCTCTTCACCGGAAGTATCCTTCTCGAATGATGCTAGTGCTTGGACAGCCGATTTGTGCAACGCTTTCTCTTGTTCATATCGCGTCTTGAAATTGCTCGCCGACTCTTCGGCGTCTTTCAACGACTCCCGAACACGGTCCATAGACTCTTCGGTTCGCTTCAGCGATTCCTCCGCAACGTTCAGAGCCTTGCGCAGCTCTACCTCCTTCTCCTTCTCCCGGTTCACTGATGCTTGGCTCTCTACCGACAACTTGTGAATGACACTCCGGACAGCACGCAGAACCTCGAGATCCGCAGTACTCCCCTCCTCCAAAAACCCGGACCATAACTCATCCAGGGCATCAAATGACACGAGCTCATCAAGCTTGGCCATCCGTTTAAGAAGGTCGTCATGGTTTCTTTTGGTATTCGTTTGTTCATCCATCAGGTCCTGCTTCTGTGTCGCCAGCTCTTCTTTCTCTTCCAGCAGCTTGTCCCGATCTGCCAAAAGGGTCTCCTTCTCTCCCAGCATCAAACGCTCCAGCTTTTTGAGCCGGTCTTCCTCCCGAGTAAGCTCCGCATCTCGGGCGTCTAGCTCTTTTTGCAATCGATCTAGCTCCGTAGCCCGCATGTCTAACTCTTGTCGGGTTCGATCTAGCTCCGTAGCCCGCATGTCTACCTGTCGCTTGGATTGATCGATGTCATTTCGTTTTGCAACTAGTTCTCTTTCGTGTGCGTCCAACTCCATTAGTCGGGAACTGTTGTTTAGTCTTTCCGCTTTCAATGTCTCCACCTCCTCTTTCACTACCGCTATCTCCTGTTTCAGTGACTCCGCTTCTCTCGAAGCTTGCTCTAAATCTTCCTGCAACTTGGCCTTGTCTTTTGTGAGCAACCTAACTTCTTTCTCCGCCTGCTCCGATTCGGACCTGGTGGCAGCGGATTGCTTCTCCATCTCCCGTTTCAGTGCCTCCGCTTCTCTCGAAGCCTGCTCTAAATCTTCCTGCAACTTGGCCTTGTCTTTTGTGAGCACATAACTTCTTTCTCCG